ATGCAACAATGCAGGGACTTATGGAGATTACCTTGTCAAGCAGTTCGTCCGCTCACTAAAGGGGAATGCTTGTGATTGGTACACCGATCTCGAGGCTGAATCCATTGATAGTTGGGACCAATTGGAGCAAGAGTTTCTTAATCTCTTTTATAGCACGAGGCGTACTGTGAGCATCGTGGAACTTACAAACACTCGCCAACAAAAAGATGAACCAGTTATTGACTTTATCAATCGATGGAGGAATGCAAGCTTTAACTGTAAAGATAGGCTAAGCGAAGCTTCTGGCATAGAGATGTGCATCCAAGGAATGCATTGGGGACTTCGTTACATCTTTCAAGGAATTAAGCCCAGGACATTTGAAGAACTTTCCACCCATGCTCATGATATGGAGTTGAGCATGGCTTCTGCGGGAAACGAAGGGCTGCCCATCTACGTACCTCGGTGAAGAGGATCAAGTCATAACGTAGTTCAAAATAGGTGAGTTTTTTTTTCTGTCCTAACTTTGCCTAGGCCGCCTCTTTCGAAAAAATCATATCTTGGTGTAGGAACGTTGGAATTACGAGCGGTTTACGGCAAAAGAAACTAGACTTCCAGAGCTACGGCATAGGTAAAAATCATAATCAGAATATGCTGATATATTCCCAGATGTTTTCTCGAATTTAGGCAAAGTATTATGACATGCTGCCCCATTCTGTCTTGCTATTTTTTTTTCCATAGATTCTTCCCCCCCTTTTTTTTGCAGACTCTCGGAGTAGCACATAGGGCTGTGAATTCTATCAGCAAGGATGCGTTTCATCGACCATGATGCACCATACCCACACCTTGAGATTATTAGCAACAAGCAGAGTCCGCGCGCCCAAGTTCTAACTTTAAAAGTTCATCCTCCAGTGATATGTGCTTTCCCGCTCGCTAGAAAGCCGCTTGACGCCTCCCTTGATCTTGCAGAATGGTCGACTAGAGAGACGAAGGATGCATTGGATAGATTTTCGGGAAAAGCAACCAACATGAAGGTCCTACTTTTGAAGTCCTCCACCCATCAAAAGGCCGCGTCTGCTAGTCCTCCTTATTGTGATTACGATGGACGTCTCGCCACTTGGAGTGTTCCTCCTTCCGCCTTTGGTGAAGTTCGCTATACGTCCAAATATTGGGAGTGGGTAGAAGATGTTCTTGCCTGCAACAAGTTGACTCTAGATGGCATCAAGGTCTATGACGCCATCTTTGCTTCGTTGTTCACATATGACTACAATGAGAATGTCCTCCGTGCCTTTTGTGAGCTTTGGCGTCCATCTACCAACACAATTTCTACCTCCATTGGTGAACTCTCCATCTCTTTATGGGACTTGCGAGCAATTGGAGGCCTTCCGGTGCATGGGTCTTTCTACGATGAAGTTATCCCCTCGGCTAAGGAGTTGACACAAGAAGACGATCAAGGAAAACCTTTCCTCCCAAGAAGTTGTCTGCACCTGTTCTCAGCATTCTACAAACTCATGAAGGATGATGTACACGAGGTCTCCATTCGTGATTGGGTGGAGTTTTGGTTTCGAGGCCCGAGTAGGTATGCCAAGCCTCCGCAAAAATCATCAAGGAATCGGACTACAAGGCCGAAGTTGAATCATAATCCTTCTGGGAATATTGACGTGAGCTTCCTACCACGAACCGATGAGGAGAATGCCCCCTTATTGAGCTTGGCGTGGAGGAGTCACTTAGAGTTGAGACTTATTTGGCGGCTTTCCTTGCATGTTGGCTTTGCAAATTTGTGTTCCCCAACAAGAAGATCGACTACATTCGTGCTAGTGTCTTCAAAATCGCGAGTCTGATGGCTCATGGAGAGAAGTTTTCTTTGGCGGTTCCCGTCCTTGCAAGTATTTATCATGGCTTGAAGAAGGTCTCCACTTCTCAAGATTTGGGTGCCTGCAAAGCACTCTTTCCTATTCATTACGTATATGGATGGATAGGAGCATATTTTGACACCTACTATTGTGTTAAGCGTCCACAACGAGGTCCGAAAATGTGCAAGGTTTCTGGCAAGAAGATGGCCAAGCATTTTGACCTTAGTAATGCCCGTGAGTTATTTCAACAAGTTAGTGCGTGACAGCTTCACCATTTGGCTATGCTAAAAGGGAGGGAATTGCATCTTACCGATCGTGACGAACAATCGAATTCTTGGAGTGACTTTTTTATAAGTCTTCGCTCAAGCTTCATCACCCTTAGGCATGACGACATTCATATTGTGGAATCTTATAGCCCGCATAGGTTTAGTCGTCAATTCGGCTTTTGTCAAGATGTTCCTGGCAACCTCATAGAGCGACCCTATAACGGCTCACTGAGAATGCTAGTGCAATTCTGGGACTCCTGTGTTCGTCTTGGAGGTTCATCAAAGGTTATTGTCCCTACGCGTCCATTAGAGGAGGGACCTCTAATGACTCGTGAGTATGTAGATTGGTGGTCAGCTCGTCGAGTGAACTCTTCCCGACAAAGTACTCATATCATTTTGAAAGTTCCAAGGAAAGATGATATTCCTTTATCCTCCAAAGATGATCAACGTCAAAAGAACACTCACGAAAGGTCTTCCAAGCCCAAGTTAAGGTCGAAAGATCCTTCGCCAAGCACCAAGGTCTTACCCAAGTCTACCCCTTCGATGGGGCGGGGAAACCATGTGGACAAAGGAGCTAAACATGTTTTGTTGACTTCCAAGACAACTACTGCCACTGTAGAGGTGACGAACAATCCTTGCAAAAGGAAAGCGCCTGCTACTTCACCAAACACAAATGTTGCGAAGACAACCAATGTCGTGCCAACAAACGAGGAAAGGACTTAAGCTTCTGCTTTGCCCAATGAGATTTTGAATGTTAGTTCCACTTCCAGTTCGAACGAGAGTGATGTTAGTCAAGACATACATTGGAATCGTTCAAAGAAGAAGGCTAAGAACACGAGCCATAGTGAATTTGCTGACTTGGATGCCCTTAGTATCGATACTGGATTTTTCGTAGACGGTGACCCTAGCTCAACGATGCCGTTGTCTGAACTGGAGAAACGAGTAAATATTATTTCGTTCAAATTTACTCCCTTTTTTTTGAACACTAAAGTTGCTATTTTTTTTGCAGTTGGGCGTCAATGAGTTGTATGATGATGTACTTGGTGAAGACACGGTGGAAGACTGTGTTACAAGCCCAAATCCCCTCGGTGTGGCCACAAAAAGTCCTCACACTTTATTTGATGGTGTTGAACATCATGCTGCAAACAATGCTCCGTCGACAGATTTGAGTCTACCCAAAGAACTGCACCTCGTTCTTCCAGAAGATGTTGTGCTTTCCAAGCCAGCCATGACGAGTAAGATGGAGGTTGCCGCAAGTCAAGCAAAACGTCTAAAAACCTTCGAGCCTACTCCATGGCCGTTGCATCTTGATGCTCCAAACTTTAAGCCACAAGAGATTATTTCACGTATTAAACTTTCTTTTGTTAACACAATATGGCATACCTTGTGTGAATGGATCGAAGAGTTCTCTCTTGATTCTCTGGATAGCTTCACAAAGTTGGAGGAAAGTATTGCTTTGAGTCTTGAGGAAATTAAGAAAGAAAATGTTATTGATACTTCTACCTTTAAGAAAGAAAATGCTTTAAGATCGTCTAAGATGACTAAAGAATTTCACTAAGAGCCACTTTCTGATGCACGACGACGCCTCGATGATGCAAAACAGGAGTATGAAAAAGTGAGCGAGTCCGTAGAAAAACTTCAAGCCAGTCTTGCGAATGTTGAACAACAGCTAGCTTCCTTGGCCTCCAGAAAGAAGAAGATCGTCGCACTCTTGGACAAACAATATGTGAAGTTGGCTAAAAGTCAAGAGAACCTTGACGTTACCGAAGGGGATATTTATACCATTGAAGACAATCAACTATTATCTGACGATGAAGCAGATAAATTATCCCTCCTGAAAGGGGTAGTTGAGACAAGCCGCCAACAAATCCTTAGCTTCAAACCTTTTCCATCATTTTAGAGTTTTTTTTTTCTTTTTTTTTTGCTTAGGATTCTCGACTTGCGATTTTTTTTACAACTAATATCATGTAATGGAGTACTTATGTCTTGGAGAAATAAAAGTATCTTTATTTTTTTTAATATGTGATATTTCTCTTTGAGACCTAGATTCCCTCTGTTACTCCCAATTATTTCCTTCTTAAATTTCAGCATATGTCTTGTATGTTGGTTTTGTTGTTTCGCGAAAAAGAATTCATATTTTGCTGTAGGAGACTTCAAATCATAAGCCGCTTGCTTCTACCGAAACTAGACCTATAGGACTGAAACTTATCAAAAAATTAGCACAAATCTCCTTTTGTATCAGCTGAAATTAATTTTCAAAGTCGATCTACACGTCTGGCCCGTGTTTAGCTCACAGCTTTGCGCACTCTGCACAAAATAAATCACATCTCGAGATAGGATCATCCAAATCACAAGCCGTTTGCGATGTCAGAAAATAGACTCGGAGATCTAAAACTTGTATAAATTTCATAACAGAACTCTTTTCGGACTGTGAACAGAAAATTCACGAAGTCGACTCAACTGTAGTGAATTTTCAACATTCGCAAGACTGGCTTGAAGTTTTTCTACAAACCTCTCAAGGGAAGAGATAAGCAAGAAGTCAATAAATGGAGCAAGTTCGTACCCAAAAATATACATGAACTGAAAAGTCTACAAGGAAAATTGGCGTACCTTAGAAGATTCATCTCAAACCTAGTAGGGAAGTGCCAACCTTTTAGCCGGCTCATGAAGAAGGGTATACCTTTTGAATGGGACCAAGCTTATAGCAATGCATTCCAAAGAATCAAATCCTACTTGATGAAACCTCCAGTTCTGGAAGCCCCTATACCAGGAAAGCCATTGATTCTATATATTGCAGCCCAAGAAAGGTCAGTGGGAGCCCTTTTGACCCAGGAAAATGGTGAAAATAAAGAAAATTCCCAATACTACCTGAGTAGGATGATGACCAAATAAGCTAAAGTATTCTATGATCGAAAAGTTGTGTTTGGCGTTGGTTTTCGCTATTCAAAAGCTGAAGCACCACTTTCAAGCTCATGTCATCCGTCTTGTCTTAAGGGCGAACCCGATCAAGTTTGTTATGTCAAAACCCGTCCTCAATGATCGATTAGCAAGGTGGTATCTCCAATTTCAACAATTCGAGATTGTGTATATCCCACAAAAAGCTGTGAAAGGACAAGCTTTGGCAGATTTCTTGGCAGATCATCCAATTCCCGATGATTGGAAGTTGACTGATGAACTACTTGATGAGGATACGATGGTCATCGAAGTGCAACCACCGTGGAAAATGTATTTTGATGGTGCCACACATCGTGAGGGAGCTGGTGGAGGTGTTGTGTTTGTCACTTCTCAAGGGGAAGTTATGCCATATTCCTTCACCTTAACACAACATTGCACCAACAACGTTGCGGAATATCAAGCACTTATACTTGGGCTTGAGATGGCCGTTGATATGAGACAACTCCAATTACATATTTTTGGAGACTCTGAGTTAGTGATCAATCAATTGCTAGGTAGCTACGAGGTCAAAAAGCCAGAATTGCGTCGTTATTATGATTATGCGCAGAAATTGATTGGATGGCTTGGCAATGTAACTCTTCAGCATGTGCCAAGAAAGGAAAATAAGAAGGCTGACGCCCTACCTACTCTAGCCAGACACAAATCACTATCTACCAAAAATGGATAGTACCGCCAGATGAGAACGAGGATGAAGAAAGCAAGCTCGAGCATTTGGTAGCCGTCGCTGAAGCTGTGAAGGTTGATTGGCGACAAACCATGATCGACTACTTATGTTATGGGATACTTCTAGAAGATCCAAGAAGAAAGACCGAAATTCGTTGGTGTGCCCCTCGCTTCCTTTACTACAAAGACACTTTGTATCGAAGATCATTTGAGGGAGTTCTCT